GAAAAAAAATCAAACCAGTATATTATTACGGTGAAAAAAAACTTTACCCGTCCTCACAATATTGTAAATTCCCTAAAAAAATGAAGAGTTTACTTATTAGGTTTTAAATTTGAAGTTATAATAAGTAGCGTAGCATTCGACGCAGCTATGCAAAAGAAAAGATTGATTATGAAATTTTTAAATTGACTAACGAAAATAATCATTTCGCAACAAAATAAATTATTGCTATAAGGAATATTAGGGTAAACTACCCAGTGGTCGGCACTCCTACCAATAATCGGCACAGAACAAAATAATGTGGAATTCGTAAGAAAATGAATGGGAAAGTAAAAACCAAAATTATGCGAACCTTTCGCTGTTAATTTTCTCTTTCTGAATTGTATAAATTTATTTATTGTTTATTCATTCGTATTTCGCAATATCTCAAGCAAAGCGGGTGTGTCTGAGTGTAAAATAAAAAAAGTGTTTTTCTTAAGTTTTTGTTAAAGAAACGTGTAGGTATTTTCATTATTTATCCTAATAAAACAAAGTGTAGAAATGAAAACAATAATTAAAAAAAAAGAAAAAAGAGTAAATTTTTAAAATATACTATATAAATTTTATAAATATTAATTTAATTAAAAAAAAAAGGGGTGTCGATATTTGGCGCAGAAAATGACATATTTTCAATTATCAGCTTTTCTTTGATTATTAAATAAATTGAGTTAAGTTTCTTTGATAAAACTTTAAAAATACCGAATGTTAAAGGGAAACATATAAGGACGTATTCCGAAGAAAATCTGTCTAATGCTTTAAAAGTTGAAAGAAGTGGTATGCCAAAGAAAACAGCAGCTAAGCAGTTCGGTATTGCTTGGACTACGATTCAAAGCCGGATCAGTGGAAAGGAAGATTTGAAATACTCAAAACGCTGTAAAAGATTTTTGGATCAAAATCCAAGACTAAATCCTTTTAAAGGTAACAAACCGGGAAGCATGTGGTATAGTGCTTTTCTTAAACGACATCCTGATTTAGTGGAAAGAACTCCTGAAGCCGCAGCTGCATCGACAAGGATTCGACATAAGGAACTGCTTCAAAAAACTGAACATTGAAACGATAAATTTAGAAATTTTTCGTTATAATTTCTTTATTTGTATCATAATTACCATTCATATTATTAGAAATATTGATTTTTGCATTACCTTAGCAAAACTGCATAAAAGCCAAAACAATAAAATATATTATTAATAAAGTTGGGTCAAACCAATGGTTTGTATTGTAGCACTTTTCCTTTCAACAATTGAAAATATTGCCTTTAAATCCAGTGTATGTATAACACACAGTTAAAATCATTTTCATTCATAAGCGAAACTTTTTCTAGGATTGCATATATTTAGGATGAACGTTTTATGCAGTCTTTGAAATAAAGCACAAATTAATATAAAGAAGGGTTAATATAATGCTCGATTGTAATGGTTAATTGTGTGAGTTAAGAAAAATAATTATATTTATTATTGTCATGGAATTTATCATTTACCATTTTGTTTTTTTAAAGTTTAATTATAGCACGCCGCGATAGGGGAAACAAGCCACTGCCTTTCTGCGTTTGCAAAATTTGACAAATGCGTATGGTTTTACTGCAATAAATAATTAAAAAATGGCATTTTTAAAGTTTTGGGTGGGTATAACTTGTAGAGGGGGGGAGATAGGTAAAAATTTTATTCTACGGAAATAAGTTTCTAGGAAAAATCTATGCACATATTAAATTTCAGCACTTTTTTTTTGAAATTTTTGGAAAAGTGTTGAAAAGTACATAATTAAACAAATAAGTATTTCCTTTGAGATCTAATAACTTTTGAGTAATTTATTTTACAACCTCGCTTTGAGTTTTGTTGCATAAAATCGTAAATTACCTTTGACAATAAGCACTTTAAACGATCAATTACTGTTTACGCATAAACTAATTCGCTACTAAAATGCATGCACGTATGCATTTGGATATTATAGTGCGTGAATGTATAATTAGTTAATACTAATACTATATAGGGTAATGCGTATAGCATACGATTTCTATGCAAAAAGTCCCAGGTTCGAACCCTGACAAATGCAATTTGCCAGATGAACTTTTTTTTATTGATAATTTTATTTTTTTTAAAATGTAATTAAAAATGCTTTACCCTTACAAATTAATATCAGCGAGTCCCCGTTCTAATTTGAAAATTAGTAAAATTTTCAATAATTTTTGAATATACTCTATTTATAAAAAGTTTAATGCAATAGGATAACATTTTCTTGTAAAATTTTGTCTTAAAAATATATGGTCAAGAAATTCAGTGTACTTTTATGTTTTGCTTACAATTTGCAGCAGATCGAGAAAAGAATACATAACTAAATGCGTAGCTACATACTTATTATAAAGCAATATATATTTTATTAAATCTTTACAATTTTCTTAAGGGAGTGTTCACTTCTTCATATAACTTACACTTCCAAAACACAATTATGTAGAACACTTATACTACCAAAAGTAAATAAAAAGTTACCCCTACAGGATGTAGTACCATTTTGTAAAAAGCGGTCACAAAGCATCTTGGCAGAGGGTAAAGGGGAAGGATGGGTGAAACTACTGCTTTTTCTGGGACCCTAGAGGCAAAACCTTTATCTAATGCCTTTTGTCTTATGTCTCTAGCCCTTCTAGAAGTACCCGTACTTTTTGGCTTCTGAAAAGTAGCTATATATATATAATGTAAAATAGAAAGGTTTTTGAACAGTTATACGAAATATGAATAAAATATAAAATTATAAAGGGAAACTCAAAGTACTACGTAGCCTGGTGGGTAGCGTGGTAATCTCATAACCAGAGGTTATTGGATCGGTGCTTGCCTGGATATTGTCGTATTTTTCTTTTTTTGGATTATTTTATTTTTTTTTTTTATTTTGTTTAAATTTTTTGTTATTTTTTTTGAATATATAACAGATAAATATTATTATAAAAATTTAAGGGAAATTTCCAAAAAAATATTGTTATAATAGTTTGGTAAAATTCGCAAAAATTTTAAGTACATAAATATGTATGCATATTTCTTTTAAAGCTTCCTAACTAATTTTTTTTTAAGCTTTCTATATGAATTGAATAATGTTCAAAACTGTGGTTTGCTACATTGAAATAAATTTTAAATGCATAAATATTAAATCATGGGGGTAACATACAGAAATAAATTTTTCAAATAAAGAAAAGGTTTAGGCATAAATAAAATAATATTTTTATTCAAATATATGCATGTACATATGAATGTGTTAGAATTGAACATTTAAAAAATTTTTCGTTCCAACATATGAACATATGTACGTATGAATGTATTAGAATTGAACATTTTCAAATTTTTTGTTGGAACAATTAGAAATTAAATTTTAAGTACAAACATAAATAATTATGAATGTATACCTATTTTTTTAAAACTGTGGGTGAACATATAGAATTAAATTTTTCAAATAAAGAAAAGGTTTAGGCAAAAGCGAAATAATAATGTTATTCAAATATATGGATGTGTATATCAATGTATTAGAATTTAGGATTTTAAAGTTTTTCGCTCAAACATATGAACGTATGTACGTATGAGTGTATTAGAAATGAACATATTAAAATTTTTTCGTTCGAATAATTAGAAATAAAATTGTTAGTGTAAACATACTTAATTATGAATGGATACCTATTTTTTTAAAACTATGGGTGACCATATAGAATTAAATTTTTCAAATAAAGAAAAGGTTTAGGCAAAAATAAAAAAATAATTTTATTCAAATATCTGTATGTATATATGAATGAATTAGAATTTAGGATTTTAGAGTTTTTCGCTCGAACATATGAACATATCTACATATGAAGAATAATAAAGTTGGGTCAAACCAATGGTTTGTATTGTAGCACTTTTCCCTTCAACAAATGAAAATACTGCTTTTAATTAATATAGTCTATGTATACCTATCACATTATTAAAATTATTTTCATTCATGTACGAAACTATTTCTAGGATCAGTCTGATATAAAGCTAATATAAAATAAATTTAAAGAAGGGTTCACATGATGGTCGATTTTAAGGGTTAATTGTGTGAGTTAAGAAAAATAATTACATTTTTTAATGAATTTACCGTTAGCTTTTTGCGTTTATAGAAATTTGAAAAAGTTTGTGGTTTCGCATTTTAAGGTGCCAAATATTCAAATTTTACAAATTTCGAGAGGTGATAACTTGAGGGGGTGGAGATGGGAAAAAATTTTCTTCTAACGAAATAAACTATTTATGATTATCTAAGAGCTGCTAAAATTGCAGAGCCTTGTGACGTACGGTGTAGAAGAAAACTGGCATCAAAAATAAAAAAAAAGTGATTTTAGATAACGGTAAATTTCAACCGCTATTTTGTTCTTTTAAAGTTCAGAAATGGTATGCCGCGATAGAAGAAGCCAGCTACTATTTTTCTGCTTTTGCAAAATTTGAAAAATGTTTTTTGGCTTTATTGCGATAAATAGTTAAAAAATGCCGTTTTTAGGGTTAGGGGGGCTATAAATTTTAGAGGGGGAGAGATAGGTAAAAATTTTGTTGTACGGAAATAAGTGTCTAGTAAAGATCTATATGCGCACAAAATTTTAGCTTTCTATCTTCAAAGGTGTAGAAGTTTTGTAAACAGGCTCACGGACAGACGGACGAACGGACAGAGTGAAACTAATAAGAACTTTTTTTCAAAAATTTTTTGGAAAAGTGCTAAAAACAATTGCAAAATTTAATATTAATTTTCATGAAGAAGCTTCAACCTTATATTATCTTCCTCTTTTTTGACGGACGGAGAGAGTGAAACTAATAAGCAATTTTTTCGAAAATTTTTTGGAAAAGTGCTAAAAACAATTGCAAAAATCAATATTAATTTTCCATACAAAATCTTATACTATCTTCCTCTTTTGGAGCTTCAAGGATTAACATACCGAATGGTACAAAATTACACCTACTTCTAAAAGTTCAAATTATACATACCCGCTTGCAATTCCTTATAACGACGATTCCAAAATTGCTTCCATTCTTCAGGATATAACGGATGTTTTTCTGGATTTTTTTCATAATTTTTAAACTGTTTATCTAGATCATGAACCGCAATTTCAAGCATACAACTGAAATTAAATACATGTGAAAAATTAGAATTTAATTGTAATAAAAAATTTATAAATTATCTTGATCACTCAAAGCACAATCCAACATAATAAAATATTATAGCGGTTCATTACTATTTTCGCCGTGCTTGTTGAGTTATTGGCCCTTAGATTATTCCCAAAATAGTGCGCAACAACAAAATTAAAGTCAGAATATTATATTTTTTACTTTAGTTAAAAAAAATTATATGTACTCGTAAATTAAATATGCATACCAGAATTCTACGTTTATAAACTAGCATTTTTCATGAACTGGAATACTACTTCTACAAAACTAACCGCTTTCACGGGGTCCAAAATCGTACTGTCACCTCCTTGTAGTGGACCCCGGTAATGGCGGATCCTAAAAAAGTGATTGAAACGAACAAAGTTGCATTCGTGCCGTGCCATGTCTCGCGGCGCAACCCTTATTTTGTAAATTTCAGCTTTATATCTATACGTCAGCTAACGATAGTCGTCTCAAATCAACAGCATATGCCGATGACTGCGTGGCTAACGGAGAGCTTAGTCGTTAATATATGAACTCTGGATACCAGGTATCCTCCTTTAAGCCTCCAGCTTAAAAGAGCCTTTTAATGGTATAACGGGTTCTGCCATGGGTGACTTTACTTTCCTGCTCTACTCGTGGGAACAAAATGGAAAATGAAACAAACACTTAACCAGTAGGTGTTCAAGGGTCTGTGGAACCAGAGTTTCTGTCGACTGACGCAGAGGAGAAACTTCTTCTCAAGCCAGTGGAGCAAAAGGTAGAGCCTTCAATGGAGACGGATAATGAGGATTCTCTTGGACCTATTGTCCAACAACCTAAAAGGAATCTAAAAAGATTGAAGATCAGAGCGAAGAAACAATATATCTTTGGTGTATCTAAACGGCGTATAGCAGCATACGTCAAGGACGGCATGGAGGAAGTTCGCAGAAACGAGAAGTTGAGGGTTTGCGGATCGAATGTTGTGGTCAGCCATCCCCAGAAGAAGAAAAGGTCAGAAAGCGGCACTCCGGATCCAGGACCCTAAAAAAAGAGGTTGATAACGGGCAACTAGACGGTGACAACATGCCCAGAAGATGAAACAACCGTTAATCTCTCTAAGGACAAATTTCTTTGTAAGCTAGGGAAGTAAAATTCCAGCTTCAGGATAAGTTCCTGGAGGGCGCTGAGGATAGATACAGAAAAGGACAGGGACGGCTCTATCATCTTCTTCGTGTATGATTTTTGTTTGGAAGATCTACGGAAAGCGGAGTTCTAACTTTTCCTGAGCTTCTTCCACGTTACCGTTACGGCCAAGGGAAGCAAATCCTCTCCAGGTGCTGGCGACAGGATAAAACAATTCAAAAAACCACCGCCCACCGCGACAATAACGAGCTCTTCAGGTGAACCAAAAGAAATGGAGGCAAGAAGAAAGGAAAAACCAATTACCCCCGCGCCAAATACAAACGTCCCGGTGAACAAAAAAGGCCCAAGCCCATAGAGAAGCCCAAAACTGTTGCAATATTTGCTACTGAGGGGACTAGTCCTGCACCTATGACAACAAAAGAAGCGATGGCAAAAGGTGGCGCCAGCCAAGATACGCAAGAAGTCGACAAAGGAGAGGAAGCTCCATGAAAGCCTTTGTATAAAGAGCCTATGACCATAGATAAGAGCCGTAAAAAGAAATATCACTATGAGGTGTAAATTTATATCATGAAAAAGCTTCTACAGATGTCCTGATTCGAAAACTTGTCAAGGACTACCTTGACATCGCCCTTATCCAAGAGCCTGATGTGGTGAGTTATTATATGATAATGCAACTGAGGGCAGGTTGAGAGCCATTTTAAAGACTTCTGCGCCAAGAATCAGGTGTTGGACAGACTTTATTGGATGCTTATACTATCTCCCGGAGGCTTCGCGATATTCCAACATTTGTAAACGCGATCAGGGAGGAAGTCCTTGACATCATTCTATGCACCGAATTTCAATAGGGTCGATGGGTGTCATGTCCCAAGTGAGACATCTATGTCCGACCACAGGCTGATCAGAGTTAACATCACAACCTCGGGTAGTTTTGCGGAAGAGGTGCTTTAGTCCACAGACTTGAGGCTATACGAAACGCTCCTCATGGATGGAATGCGCTCCGTATCTGCTTTTGTCAAGACCACGGCGGACATCAAGTTGGCTAATGGGGCCTGACAGTGACTATTATTGATGCCTACCGCGGGAATTGTCCTATCAAGCCGAGGCGAAGCAAAAGTAAATGCCCATGGTGGAACGGAGAACTTTTAAGGCTTGTAATAAAGCCCAGAATGCTTTTTGATAAGACTTTGTGGGAATAGTAAAGATGCTCACGCACGGCTAAAATAAAGAGATAAGGAAAGCAAAGATGGGCTCATGAAGAGCGTTCTGCAAGGGAATGGATGAGTTCCCAACAGCACCAGGCTTCATAGAGTGCTAACAAAAAATATGCAGACAGGCTGGGTCTAATTGAACGGTCTGATTGCCTCATGATCAAAGGCGGAAAGCAGACGTTGGAGCTGATGACTTCAACACTTTCCTGATTCGGAGGTCATGCAGAGCTGCCCAAGTCTGGTCATTGATCCGAGGGCTCCAGGCGTAAGGAAGATGATTTGGGCGCTCTGGTTTCGTTTTCACGACGGGAAGGTTAGATGGGCTATATATTCTTTCAGGCCTTTCAAATCACCAGGTGAAAACGACGTATTTAGCGAGGCCTTAAGCCCGTAAGTTGAAACGGGTAGGTGTACAGACCAAGTTAGAAAAGCTTCAAAGGCTGATTTGTCTGGGAGTTATTGGGGCAACGCGGAGGGCTCCCACGGATGCTTTGGAGGCATTCGATGGACTACCACCATTGCACCTCTGCATTGTGCCGGAAACTCGACCAACAACTTACCGACTTCTTTCTGGTCATGTGGCAGGGGAAAAATGGTCCACAGCCCTAATACAGTTTTTGTCGAGAACAGCCAAATTCTCGGGTGTATGTCATGATATAACTTTGATCGCGGATACGAAGTGATGTTTTCTGATCGACGCGGGTGAGGACAAGGTGGCCCAGTTTTTCAGACTACTTCTACTGATGGGTTCAAAACGGAGTCCAGGGTACAGACGGACACATGTGTAAGGCGCCTGGATCCGTATTACTCGGTGTTTCCAGTTCAAATACATGTAATAGTAATTTGTCTGAAAGTAAACTTACAAAGGGGATATTATAAAAATCGCACTATTTATGTGCTCTCAGGCAGGGCGGCATTGTTGGCACTCCATTAAGTTCAGATCACATCCGATTTGGTTTGGAAAAAAGCTGTTTTGGAAAAAAAGCTGGTCACATCCAAGCTTGTTTTCAGTTCTGCGTGCTAGCGCTTATGGAGTTGGCATTAACAAACACAGTAAAGCTCATTTTGGTGGCAGGAAACAAGGGCAACAAGATCGCTGATGGGTTGCGTGGAGAGCATCTGGGGTTCCTTTCGTTCGACCCTTCCTTCTGGAAACCTGCTTGAGGACGAATCAAATGTTCGTTGAATACTACAAACGGATGTCATCATGAGAAACTGTTTCTTTCATCTTGATCAAGGAAGTTCTTCTCAAAGCTACTTGGTGTGGACCGAAATCGGATTCGTGCAATTACTGTTTTCTTCACTGGTCGTTGTGGGGTGAAATATAGCTTTCACACATTCTGTATGACTGTCATGCTCTGGATATCAAGAAGGGCACATGGCTTCGGCGGGGCTTTTTCAATGGGGAGAAGCTTACTCCCTGAGGGATATCTTCGAGGGATTTGATATGGCAGAAGGATACGAGTTGCTTTACCCATGTCTCTCTTCGGCAATAAAAAAAACCAAAAAGAAAAAGTTTTTTTTTTTCTTTTTCCTTCGTCTCTCCTAAGAGGAACATAGGACTAGTGCATGATATCATGCTCCAGTCTCATTGCGTTATAGAGTTTCAACTAAGTAGGCGACTACCTTGTCATAGTTTTCTTTTCTTTGTATTAATCTTGGATAGTAAAATCTATTGTTTATTTTCCTGTTTTTAATATTTGAAAAATTACTTGTATTCCAATTTTTTATTTTATAAGTGTTGTATATTAAGCTATAATATTGACTATAAATTTTTATAGTGATCTGTACGATGTTTGAACACGAGACCCTTCAGTTGAAGGACTGGTGCCATAACCACCGGTCAGGTTAAAAAGAACATTCTAGCTTTTAAAAATTTTAAATATTTGAACATAAAATCGTCTTTCAATTTAACATAGGATGAATATATTCATATTATGTTGCCTATCAAAATTACCATAAAATTAAAGAATGCTGTCTTTTAGTGAATCTCCGTAAACATTTGTAATTCTAAATTATATTAAAAAAAACACGTTGCTAAAATAAATAATAAAAAATTTAATTTTATTCATAGATCAAAATAAGAATTGAAGTTTAAAATAACAGAATTGGTGAAATCATGCTCGTGTGCTATGCTACCCTTCACCACTCGTTTTGAAAGTGAAGCATTTAGTCTCCTGAGTTTTCTTGAAGACAGGTTTATCCTCAAGAATTAATTATAATACAAAACACGTCGATTGGGGTACTAGACTAACATTAGTGAAAGGAAAACCTGATTGTTTTATTTGAGAGTGGCAGCCATTACCATTAAACTGGCAGACCAACATATTGGCCAAATGAATACAAGATTTGTTCTTCTTTACTCAGAAAATGCTATACTTTCTATCATCAAATTTCATTACTCTGAAGAATTTCATTATGCAAAGTGATATATTGCCTAGAAAAAAGGAAAGCGATATGAACATGAATCCTTGGATATTAGTTGCCCGAGAGATATATTTAATATAATACTGCTAAATATTCAATATGATAAACTATATAATACTGGATAATATTATTAAAATTAACCAGCTGTAGAAGAAAATATTTATTCTTTATGAAGAATTGTAAAACTTACAAAACAATCAATTCATGTCCCCCCC